TACTCTTCATTTTTTTTTTTTTTAAGAAAGAAAGAAACTTGACACTTGGTAAATTCTTAATATTATTAGAACACGCGAAAAAATCATTGTAAATATTAGGGACAGAGTTCTGTAAAGGATCAGTGTTGTCGCCAAAACACCAATATAGTCATTGGCAGTGCACATCAAGACGTCCGTACAGGCAAGTTTTTACTGAATCCATAATGGCGGCCTTGACCACTTTCTCGTGCGCAGTAGTGGACTGCAATTCAGCATTCTGTAACATCCCACACTGCCGTATAAAAAGCCACAACAACCACGGTTCACACAGTTCATTTAACACAACTGTAGACAACTGAAAAATGCCAAGGTTGATTGATGATGAACGCAATACTGCAATCGGACGATTGGAAGTAGGGGTGACTCAGGAAGCCGTGGCAAGGCACTTTGGCATGTCTAGACAGATCAGTGCTGCGTTATGGACACGATGCAACAACACTCAAAGTGCTCATGACAGGCCTAAGTCAGGTCGACACAGGGTCACTACTGCGGCCCAGCATCGTTATATCCGTGTGTGCCACCTTCAAGATCGAATCACAATAGCAACGTCTACAGCTGCCCAAACCCCTGGACATTTAAGAATTTCTGACCAGACAGTCCGCAGTCGTATCAGAAAGGCAGGATTCTTTGCTCGAAGACCAGTCCAACGTAACGTGTTGATCGCACACGACGTGGGAGAACGTCTCCTGTGGTGCCAGCACAGAGTGATGGGTGACAGGTACTGGGATGATATCCTGCGACCTCATGTTGTTCCATACCTGGACGCTAATGCTGGCATTTTGCAGCAGTATAACGCTCGTCCGCTTGTTGCATGGGTATGTGAGGATTTCCTGTGTGCCAACAACATTCCGACTCTACCATGGCCTGCCCGTTCACCGGATTTGTCTCCAATCAAACACGTATGGGACGAGTTGGATCAGCGTGTGCGGCAGAGGAATCCGCCACCTCAGACACTTCCAGAACTCCCTGTGGCACTCCAGGATGAGTGGCAGGCCATCCTGCAGGATGGTATTGCAAACTTGATTGCTTCCATGGGTTCCCGATGCCGAGCAGTGATCAGCACAAATGGTGCTCATATTAGGCACGGGCTTTTCGTGTACCCCATTCTGTTTACAAGTTTGTGCATGACATTCTGTTTGTTCACCAGGGCTAACGTTTTGAACATGTGTATGGTAATCATCTGCCAGAACATTGCATTATTTTGTTCTTTTGATTATGTTCACTTTATTGAAGAATTCACTGTTTAAAGTGAGTGTCAGGTTTCTTTTTTTGTGCAGAGTATATTTGTACATTTAGATAGAAGCCGTACAGGATGCATTTTATATTTACACCTTTGGTCTTTATTTTACATTTGAAAAATAAAAACTATTGTTATCATAAGAATACAACAAAGAAATACCTGCACTGTTAATTATTTATTAACAAACATAACCCATCAAAATAATTAAAACAAATAGATTGGATACTACAGTTTGGAAAATAATCAAAGAAAAAAGATTGGAACATCATCTCAACTTGGAAAAAATAACTATCAAATACATCTCCCCC